AAACAGGATAAAAAGGAGAGACTAAGCATAATTATACAACAGTAATATTGGTGGGCAAGCTGGTCTTTGGCAAAACAAAGCAAACAAGTTTTCCTTTATTTCTTCCAAAGCACTTTTAAGAGTCAATGAATAAAGAGGCATAATAAAACAATGTCATACTTCCTCTAGAAATACAGTGGGATAATAGGAAGGGAGGAGGGAGAAAGGAGGAGGGAGAAGAGAAAGCCAAGTATGGTAAAAGCACTAAAGAAAAATTTGTTAGTGCTGCTTCCACACATTCAAGTCTCCCTTGCTAGTAAAATATAGTCATAGATGAACTATTAGACTTGCAGAATTGTTTTCTTAAAGAAAATCTTAGTCCCTGTCAAAACGTTTTCTTCTTACGGCCTATAACTTTTAGCAGTATAGAAGAGCAGTAGCAAGTCTTGCAAATTGTATTACCAAACAGAATTAAGGTTAATGTTGTCACAGGGATTAGGATACCAATTCCTTATGACCATGTCAACTGTCCTGCAGCTGTGAAAAGCTCAGTCTAGCATTCTTTTGTGAAGCACACCAACTCCAACCCTATGCATTTATGCACTTGATTTCTGTCTAGGGCTAAACAATTTCAATATGCCTAGAAGCCCTGGGTTTGTGTACTTACTGTTTCAACATAACATTAGGAAAATGAAGAGAAAGCACAGGAGAAATCCACTAAACAACCTGAAGTAGCACTTACCCTACTACCATACTACTTTGAAAAATAATTACTAAGGGGGAGAGAGGGGAAATCCAGTATGTAAAGCTGAATTGCATGGTATTATCTTCTGAGGTCAAGGCACTAGGTAATGAGTCTTTTCCTGAGGAGAAATCCTGCCTGTCATAACCAGAACACACCCAAAGTCTTGCTTGTTTTTAAGTAAGACTGTGTTCACACTTAATCTTTACAACAAGTCTTGCAGAAAAGGCAACACTTATGAGATCAAGCAAGCGATGCTTGCTTTTCTTGCAAAACTTTTCTCTCAAATCCCTAGTGCACCACAGCTGCACCACCACTGAACTGTTCAGCTGCAACACTCAGCCATTAAAAGTAATTCCGCACCTCCCTCTTTCTTGTATTGAATTAGTGTAAGCCATGACATCTCTCTGGAGAATATTATTCCCTCTAAAATGGCAAACTGGACCTCTTGAACATATTCTCTGTTTTACAGCTCTTCCCCCCCACCCCTTTATCCTCCATGTTCAACAAGCACTGAAGTAGATTTTCAGCCCATTCTCCTCCCCACTAAAGGGCACAAATGAGAGCTGACCTGTGATGACTGCAGGGCCGAAGGTCCTCCTAAAGAGGAAATCCTTTAAGGGGACAAGAACAGAGAAGCAGTTTGACGACTGGCAGTTAGCAATGCTTCCATACAACCTTTTCCTAACAGAGAGCCGCACTGTGAAGTACGGTGCTTCGTTTATATGGCCAGTTTAACAAAATAGATTATTTCCAGCAACATTTAAGACACGGAATAACTACTGAGATGCACATGTGTCACTTGTTTCTGCTGACCAAAAAGCCTTTTGCTTTCATAAACCAGAAATCTTTGTTGTTTAAGCAAAAATTTTTTTTTAAACATACAAAACTTCAGATTAGCAGAAACTTGAGGCTGATCTCTAAACATCCATGCTCTGAATTAAAGGCATGAAAGCATTAAGATACTGAGTAACAGTTTGCTTCCTGCACCCAATTACCAGGCACAGAAAAATTGTGTTTTAAGAAATCAGGTTGTTCAGAGTCACAGCCCAGGTCCAGGTATCCCGTTTATCAGTGTAAATACATCTCAAACACCTAGAAAATTAGTAGTTTGTGACTAGCTACAAGGAAAGTAAACATGATTATACTGAACAAAATACCACTGAACAGGCCAGAAAAATACAGCCAACCACTTTCATTGACCTAAGTTAGTGGCTAAGATATTTCTATAAGGGTATGGTCATATTATCCAAAGGAATTGCATTTCTATGGTTTCAATTTCAGGTTTGAATCCTAATAATTATACTCTGGATGTCAAATACTGGAAACACAAAAGTCATTCACATCAAATGAAATCTATGAATATGTTATAGTAGCAATATCATGACTTGCTGTAATACTGGAAAAATTAATCTCTCTGCCCCACCCTCTCTACCATCCTACCTCTATCTCCCAAAGCAACTATGCGCACATAGACATGAACTGTAGAAGAACAGTTTTATAGTTATAACTATGTATAACTTACCAGCAGCAGCATCTTGGTCAAGCATTATGCTGCAAACAAATGGTAGCAGAGACCTCTGATGACTTAATCTGAGGCATTGCAATTAATACAGCTAGTTCTTTATTAGAGACCTATCTCTACTAGCCCAAAGTTTCTGATACACATTTTCTGTTTCATTAGTTTAAGATTGAAAGTCTAGCAAAACATAAGGCATAGTTAGAAGATTTAAAAGACACTTTGTGCATTATGTTAAATCCTTGGCTGGCAGGGAAAACCTAGCTGTCCCTACCAAATTCTAAGCACACTCAGTAGTTGACCTCATGTTGCCACTGATAACCGGAAAATAAACTGAATGTTGTAATAATCTCCTACTATTAAGACAAGTATTATTTGATGTCCTAATGACTAGAAAACCTTAGTTGTAATTGCAAGTTTTATTTATATGGAGACTTAAATTCAGTTCCCTGAAGTGCCTCTGTCTCCCTGCATCAGGTCCCAACTAGAGGCTCTGGAAGCAAGGAGGGACCAGCACTGAGCCAAACTTCTCCACTCACTCCGCTTTAGGCAAATACTCACTAGTCATTCTCATGACCGATCACTGCTTCACAAGACTACGTAAAGCCAGGGTGATTGCATAAAATCACCAATACAAATAGCAGTGAGTCTCATACTTCAGGCAAGCATATCTCCAAAAGAAGTCTGTACACCACCCTCCTCCTAAAGGAAGCAATGTCTGTAAACAGTTTCATGAGTCCATTATAAATTCAGAAGCAGCACTGTTTTTCCTCTTCCTCTGGAGGTCTCTTCCTCTGATCCAACCCCATCAGACAAGAACAGTTTGCTTCATAAAATATTTGCCAAGCACAAAACTGCTAATGCCCATTCTAGAGTTTTTACTTATCTTTGGCAATGCAATTGTGAAGGCAGACCATCAATGCAAGGTTCACTGCTCAATTGCAATCACTTGCTAAAATAAGCGGGAGTAGCTCCATACAGGTGAAGGGCACTAGAAACACAGATTTAGTTAACCTTGAAGTTATTCCCTAATAAATTGATCCTGTTGCACAGTTTTCATCTACTCTTATTCCAATCTGTGGCTTCATTCTTTCAAATGAAAAGAATTCGGACAATCAAAATCAGAAAGAAAGCACAGAAAGACACAGATCTGATACAAAATAAAAACATCCATATATCAGTATGGAAAGAAAACAAGACTGTAACCAAACATATACCAGCATGTGAAAAATTTCATCTTCCAAAAACAGTAAAATTTGTACATGTAGCAAGATCTCCAGAGATATAAATCAGTACTAGCACAGTATATGAACAAATATATAGAGCACCTGAAGTGTGATAACTACTGACATTGACTTACTTTATTAGAGGACAATTGTTCTTGAGACAGTTTTAAAAGACATTGTGCTTTTAGAGTGGGAAGCCCTTATCCACAAACCACTTGAGACTGCTAGGAATAAACTCCTTAAAATAATCTTAAAGTTTGCTCTGTTCTTCCACATATACTTGTTATTAGGGGTCCTCTGATCTGAGCTGTTAGAGGCTATTGTTCTGGTCAAGAGACTGTAGCTTTTCTTTCATAAAAACACACATAAAAACAGAGCCCCAAATATCCATTGAGAGGTGTGAAAACTCTTGGTGGCCCCAATTTGCTGCCCTTCCGTTGCTTTCCCCTGCATCACCCTGCTCGGTGGCAACAGCATAGTTTCTTCTGGGGTGAAAGAGCACTGTTAAGCAGCCCTAAAGACAGAGGCACAACTGAAGAAACCAAGACTTACAGTGATTTATTTAAAGAAAGGAAATGTCATTTTAAAAAAGACTTACATTTAAATGGTTGGTTAACCTGGCAGCAGAAACAGTGTTTTCTTAGTTTGTGTGAACTAGGTCAAATAGCTTTTAACTTACTTCCAGTACCTCTATACCAGGCCTATAGCAGAAAACACAGTAAATTTTTCAGAGCTGCCTCTTCATTACACACACTTTTCCAGATACAACATGCTCATGTTCCCAAGATCAATAAACAGCCACCTAAATATGAACCAATATTGGATAGTATGAACTGCGTTTCCAACACACTATGTCAGAAGTGCAATTTTACAAGTTCAACAGCATGTGTTTACTTCAACACATCTATATAATGTCAGATTCACAGCTTTCATATTTGTCCAGCACAGCCTTAAAGCCAAAATTCAAAACACATGCCCACCATAGACTTACTCTCTATTCTACTACAGACATGACCCATACCAGTTTGGAGGGAAAAAAAATTTAAAAATCTTCAAGCTTAAGCATTTCACTGACCTCTTTTTGAACTCAAACATACTATTGTTTCATTGTCACTTCATATTATTTGTCAGCTGCCAAAAGGCCAGCATTTTTAAAGAATTAGAGAGACAAGTCATTAACATACTTTAGCTTTCCTGTTTCAATCACAATTTTTCATTCTTACTTCATTCAAAGCCAGTGCACTAACATCTTTCGACATGAATCTTACCTCTTCTTTTTTTAAGAAGAAAGTATTTCTACTACAACTTTCATATGCTGACAGGGGTCAATCTCCAAGTTATTTCTATTCTGAAAGTTTAAGGTACTAGATAAGAAAGCTTTTTTTCCCCCCCCCCCCCCCCCCCCGTTTAAGTACTAGAAAAGTTTCTGATCATGTTAGAAATTACTATATAGCTGGATAACGAAGCTCTGAGTTTTAGGTACAATACAAAGAGTTGTCAATTAACTGTTAAGTAACATTTAACTAATTCTTACCTTGTAGCATGCATCTATATGCAGATTCAGATATTGCATAAATGTGCGGTGGCATTTCATGGCGCTTCTTCCCTCTGTACATCTCAATAATGTTTTCTGAATAAATCGGGAGGTTCTTGTAAGGATTTATAACTACACAGAACAGCCCTGAATAGGTCTTAAAAAAAAAGAGAAATATTTCTGTTAGTAAACAGTATTGAACTAGTCATAAAGAGCAGAAAATTTTTTTCACAGGTTCTATAATATTTATCTTAGAGCAAAATTGAGGTCCTTTTTGCTGAGCAACTCAAAGTACACGCTATATTCAAATTATTGCTTTCTAGTTCTCTTAAAAGATTCTCAAATTACCTGCGTAAAAAGTAATTTAAAGATAATAAATGTGAGTAAATATGAAGTAGAGCATCTGATCTCTTTCCCACAGATATTTAAATCTCCCTTCCATTTGCCAAGTTACAGGATTTATGGACATCTTTTGATGTTCAAGTCTTTCAATAAAATTTGCATTCAAAGTTATTTTTTCATTTTTGAAGGAACTGATAATCTCAATTACTCTAGTAAATAATTTGGATAAGGAAAAAGCCTATTTCCAACCACCACTGTTTCTGCTTTGCTATTTTTCTCATATCTGTATGTCTTTCCTGCTCATCAGCCTTTCTCAATCCCAAAGAAGTCTCCTCATGGAGAGGTCATTCCCTCCACTGTCCCACCCCGGCTGATGGATAGCCTGGCAGCTGGCACTGCACACATTTCATAGTCTACTTTTAGAGTTGATACCGAACAGAAGTTACCAGGACTATTATAATATCAAGCAAATCAAGCACAAATTTTACATTGCTTATTGCATTGACTTATTGAGGCATTTCTGTGTAGTCAAAAAACGCCTCAAGTTTTAGAAAATTGAGCTCACATTGCAAACCATACATACAGGTCCACATTTCCCTGTGAATGAAATATCAAAGACTACTTCAGAACAGTTCAATCTCTGCTCCATAGAAGATATTTGTATGACAACTTCCTTATAAATATGTATGAAAGAAAAATGTATACAGTCAGACACTTATACTTTGTTATCTGGGACTGACAGATGAGCATGGTCTGGCTGTACAGGCCTTACTAGGGATCACAGGTTAAGCTCACAGACAGACAGCTTTACACCATGCAAACAGAGCTAATCCACAGTGTTTCCCCAAACCAAGGCATCCAGATGGCTCCTACCTTTGCAGATTCACCTTTATTTTATTGTATGCTTTGAAAGTGTACTCTTTTTGGTCATTAATATTATTCACATCTTTACTAGCATAGGAATGTTAGCAAGAGAGACCAGTTTTGACATTTCTGAATGTCAGGAAAACTGTGTTTCTTACCTTTGCAGGCTCAGAGGAGAGAAGGAATGGAGACAGTAAGCAGACAGCATTAACAGCTCTTGAGAGCCTATAGTATTAAGCAGGTAACTCTGATTCTTACAACATTTGTCAATTTAAAAATATTTCTGCTACATTTGTATGAACAGAGTAGCTGAAATCCCTGATCTGCTTTTTTTTTAAACATATAAAAGATTTTACTTGGAGGAAAAGGTGCCCTGTTCTTTCTACACCTACAAGGGATTCTGGAAAGACAGGCACTAGGTGATCTCTGAATTGAGTCAGGAATACCATCAGTAAAGAAAAAGGACCTGGGTTTATGCCAGATGTCCTGACATAAGGACATCTTATGTCCTTATAGGAAAATAATTTCTCTGCTTTGGTCAGATCTGCTGGACGATAAGTACCTGCAGTGCCTGAGCCAAACACCTTTGGTAATACAGTATTTATTTCTCAAGAGAAAGGACAGATGTTATCAGGTCAACTGACCCAAGCATAAAGAACAACTTATCAGGCATTAACTCAACATAAGCATGGGGCTGTTGGCAAGTGGGCAGTTCCTCCCCAGCCTCTTTTTCAGCCTCATGTTCCTACCACTGTCCCTCTTGCCAGCATCAGCACTCTTGCAGTAATACACCAAGCTGAATACTACTGAAGATAAATTTCAAAAAGAATTGGTTGGTAACAGAATCAGTTCCCTGACCAAACTCATTCATGGTCACTAGTGATACTGTAAGGGAGAGGGAAGGCAGTACAGTTATTTTAATAGCATGGTACAACTGACCAAGGAGCCAACTAACCAATAAATACTGAATCTACATTCCTAGCCAGCCATCTTCCCTGTTGTGCTCAACTGAGGTCACCTGCATTCATCTACAACTACTATGGGTGACATGAAGACATCAAGAATTACCACAAGCCTAATTTCCAGTGAAGACTAGAGTCTTCAAATAAGGATAACTAGAAGAAAGGCACACATTCATCAAGCCCATCATATGATACCAGCTTAAAAAAAATAAAAAAAAAAAATCACTGAACCTATGCTGTGTTTCTCCACTACAGACACATATAATGAGAAAAAGACTTATTGTTGACTGCAGATGAGATCTAGTCACAAGCGAAAGAATTCACACAGCCAAAGTCCATTTCCAGATCTGTCCCAACACACCCTCTGACCAGTGTAATGGCATGAACATTTGCTTAAGCCAGCAGACCTCGCTCCTCCAGGATTATTCTGGACTCTCATCCAGCAGCACTTCTGAGCCCTGGTCTGTTTTTCACCCACGCAGCTTCAGAGACTTGCAATTTACCTCCACAGGCTGCTGGTCTGTATCTTACTGTGCACAGGAACTCTCAAAACAGTGACCAATGGTTAAGCTGTAAGGGTATTGCTGTATATACTAGCTATATTACAGAGTCACCCTCTTTCAAGAGCAGCACCTCTATTTTTCTGCAAATTCATCTAAAACTTTTATCAGTTTTGGTCCTTTTATGTTCACAAAGAAAAGCTGTTGGTTTTTTCACCAGTATCACTGCCCTTCCCCAGGCATGAATAAATTGATCTGGTAAGTAAAAAAAAAAAAAAAAAATCTTAAGTGCTAGGGTAAGAACAGCTATTTGAAGATTATCCTTCTCTCCTCCCCCCAGTTGCTTTGGCATCTTTTGTTTATTTCCAACACAGACACAGAGTAAGTGTTATTACTATTTAGCTACAGAAAGAATTTATAAATTATAAAAACAAACTTAACAATCTTTCAGACCTCTATTGATGATACCTAACCCGGACTATATCCCAATGCAGTAACTGGATGGATCAGTGAACCGGGAACGATCAGAATAAGCAAAGTCCAGCTAGATGCCAACACAACTCAGCCAATCTAAAGGAGGACCAGTAAGTGTCCTGGGCAAATGAAAAGGGTTAATTTAGGAGGCCCTGTGTTGAACAGGGCCAAATTAGAATAGAATCATAGAATCATTTAGGTTGGAAAAGACCTTTAAGATCATCCAGTCCAACCATTAACCTACACTACCAAGTCCACTCTAAACCAATCAAGGGTAGACTAGAATAAACCATGTCCCAAAGTGCCACGTCTACACGTTTTTTGAACACTTCCAGGGATGGGGACTCCACCACCTCTCTGGGCAGCCTGTTCCAATGCTTGACCACCCTTTCCGTAAAGAAATTTTTCCTAATTTCCAACCTAAACCTCCCCTGGTGCAGCTTGAGCCCATTTCCTCTCGTCCTATCGCTAACTACATGGGAGAAGAGAACCAACACCCACCTCACTACAGCCTCCTTTCAGGTAGTTGTAGAGAGCAATAAGGTCTCCCCTCAGCCTCCTCTTCTCCAGGCTAAACAACCCCAGTTCCCTCAGCCACTCCTCATAAGGCCTGTGCTCCAGACCCTTCACCAGCCTTGTTGCCCTTCTCTGAACACGCTCCAGCACCTCAATGTCTTTCTTGTATTGAGGGGCCCAAAACACAAAATTCTACCATGTCAGCAGTGCAGGGGTTCATTTATTTGCAACTAAATCTAAAGGATAGGCTTTTATGCCTGACCATTAAGTCTATGTTGTGACATAGATCTTCATGTACAGCACCTTGACCTTCAACATCTTTATTTCCTGCACATTTGACACTCAGTTCACTCTCCTGCCATTTCCCTGCAGAATTTAAAAAGCACACTTTCTTCAAAACATCACCACACCCCTTCATTTATTCAAAGGAAGATCGAATCAAGTTCTCTCACAAGGCTCCCAAACTTCCTGACCATCATCTATTAAGGAAAACAACACAGGCACATATGGTGGGCTGTTTTCATGGCTTGGTAGGCATATAAACACAGAAGGGATGCTTTTGAGTCAAATTTAATTGGGAGGGAGGTAAATGGTACAAAAATTTTATACATCTATTTTATAACTGCAAGTCTCACAGTACATTACTATATCTAAGACAGCAGATGGGACATACGGGCTTTCTGCATGCCAAATGAAGATATGAAAGGTAGGCCAAGATTGTTTTACACACCTTGAAAAGCTTCTTGGTGACCAGCTGTAGAAAGAATTAACAGGAATACTTGCACACCTGCCTTACAAATGGACACCCTACTTAATGAATACCATCATGTAACTGTTACAGATGCCCAGAGCTTTCAGACACAAAGGGGCAGAGTGATGCCCTGTGCCTCCTCTCTGTTGTGCAGTACATGGACACTGCCAAAACTGTCAGATCTGAATTACAGTTATGATCAAGCACTGAAGAGCTACAGTAAATAGGCAGTCTGGATAAAGAATCAGACTTCATTAATTTTTCAGCTGACAGAGGTAGGTATGTATATTAAGAACTTAAAGGCAAGTAAATAAGCTTATACACCTTGAGATCATGGGATCAGCTGCAAACAAGCTAGTTGCTTGAAACGCACACATTTCTGCTTTACCAAGGAACATGATATAGACAATATCAACCAACAGTAATAAGGCATATTGGAGTGCACACTGTCTAGGCAAGGCTCCAGAGACAAATAGTAAAGCAGTACTCTGACAGAAGTTTGTTATACAAACTCTCCTTCAGGACACTAATTGTGGAGTTTGAATGTTTCCAGATGCTTACAAGCTTTATCCAGTAGTATATCGTTTAGTAATTTGGATTTTGGTAAGCTATCCCAGACTGCACAGTTCAGGTTCCTGGCATTGGCCTATTTGAAAACTACATTATATTCCTAGCAGTAAGCAACCTGAGAAAGAGGTATATGTAAATGAACTACTGGCAAATAGAGAGTGCATTATTTCCAGGTGAA